GTTATAGGTTAAATTGTGTCCCCCTACAAAAACATGTTGAAGTCCTAAGCCCTGGTACCCGTGACTTTATTTGAAAATAGGGTCTTTGCAGATACAACCAAGTTAAGATGAGGTCATACTGCAATGAGGTGGGCCCTAATCCAATGATGGGTGTCCTTACAAGAAGAGGAAAATTTGGCCACAGAGACACATAGGGAGAAAGTCATGTGATGACAGAGGCAGAGATCAGAGTGACGCAGCTGGAAGCCAAGCGACACCGAAGATTGCTAACAACCGCTGGAAGCTGAGAAGAGGCACAAAAGGATTCTACCCAGAGTTTCAGAGGGAGCAAAACCCCCATGACACCCTGATTTTGGACTTCTGGCCTCCGAACTGGGAGAAAAGAAATTCCTGTTGTTTTAAGCCACCCAGTTTGTGGCAATCTGTTACAGCAGCCCTAGCAAAGTGATACAGTACAATAACCAAAAAGCAATGACTTTTTCTTTTATCACTTGTTAACTTTTATTACATAAGTGATGTATATTTGAGTAGTATACACGTCATTATTTTATCCACTTGCTAATTCATTCATTTAGCATTTACTGAGCAACTAACGTGTGCCAGAACCTGCGCAAGGTACCAGAGCAACAAAAGTGGTTCAGCCAGAAGACCACGATAAAGAGAGTTTTGTGAGGAAGAGCCACATAAACAGAGGACTGCAGCGGAAGGCAGCAAGTTTGATAAACACACATAATTAAGATGACAGGCTTTCCAGAGTGCACACTTACCAGGTGCCTGATACCGTGCTGAGCGCCTTGTACACATCGTCTCTCTTAATCCTCGCACAATCCAACAAGGAAACGTGCTATTATTATCCTCACTTTGCAACGGGTGAACTGAGACTCTGAGACCAAGGGACAGTTGGACTCTAACCTTGATGGCACTGAAAACAAAGCCCACGCCGGCCACTAAAGAAGCACAGAAGACGGAGACTTGCTCCAACTGGGGGTGCACAGAGAAGTCTGTGAGCTTTGATGCAAAGGAGTGAGGAAGAGTCATTTAAATACAAAAGCATCTTAGTAGTTGAGTTTTCAGAAGAGCCTAAATATATGAAAATAGGCAACTGGATAAAAAAAACTTTTGTCATCCATCTCCGGTCATTAAAAAGCAGGACAAAGTGTTCCTGACAGCTCCTAAGTAAAAAGAGCCATTATGCCCAGATCTGGCCCCCCCCCCGACCTCCATGCGCCTGTGCCACAAGGAAATAGCAAAGGTTTTCATTTTCTTCTTAGCACTCATCTGAAATTTTCAAATCAGTAATGGAGAAATTATTATCCGTATATTACTCTGACGAATGTCCCATGGTGCCTACCATGTTTGGGACCCTGTTCTCAGCACTGCATATGTGTTAATGCAGCTAATCCCACCACAACCCCATGGGGCGGACTCTGCTGTTACGCCCATTTTACAGAACAGGAAGCTGAGAGCCACAGAGATTAGGCAAACCACCCACAGTCACAAAGACAGTCTTGCCTGTAGCTCCTGCCTTAATCACCTCGCTATTATTATAATCTGGAAGGGGCAGAAAAAAAGCACTTTTTGGAGGAACAGTGATTAAAGTACCGCAGTCCCAACCTGACCCCATGAGCACATGTGCTATTTTCCTCCAGCGCCTTCTGCAACATTTTGCATGCATTTTCCACTTTCTTTTCCTCTGCCCACTTTCAATATTCTGGAATGAGCTAAAAATATATAACATATAAAAATAATGAGATTCTCATGCTTGTCTACTCGAGCAGGAAAACTTCCCTATTAGGACAAACCAAGGGATGTGCAGTTTCAGCCAAGAGTGAAGAGATGATAGCAAGCAAAGGACAGGAAAGGCGGCGGGAAAGAGGAACGCGGCCGCCGAGTTCGGGGATTACCCTAATTTGTGCCACTGGAAAGCTCTGGACAAGTGTCAGTGAGGAGGAGGAGGAGGAGGAGGAGGAGGAGGAGAGGAGGATAAGAACACTGAAAGGAGGCAGGGGCAGACCGCGCGCTGGGTGACTGAGAAACTCGCGCAGTTCAGGACAGCACGCGCCAAGGATGCCCAGGTGGCTTCACATCCACAAAGACCCTGCCCAAATCTGTCTCTCAGGTTAGAGGCTGAGCCGTTTAAGATCGCCAGCTCTGTGGGTCAAAAATGGTCAGATACTGGCAATTTCATACAGCTCCATTTATACATACAGTCACAGAGTTACACTGGCAGAATTCAAAGAAGGCGTTCATCGTAAATTGTAAAACATAGTGTAATTTTTGTCACCTTCTTTTGACATACCCCTCTTCCTCCCTTCCTTCTTTTCTTCCTGTCACCTCCATTCCCCACACCCTCTCCCTCCTTCTTCTTCAGCCCCCCTCCCCCTTCCTCTTCCTCCTCTTCTTTTTTAACTGTATTAGGAGTCTAACTTTCAGTCTTACTCATCAGTTGAGAGCATTTCACAAGCAAGAGTCAAACACTGCGTGTGTGTGCATGCACACGCGTGTGTGTGAGCGTGGAATGAGAGACACGGAACCTCCGCTTCTGGTGGCCGAGCCCACATGACACAAGAGGACAAGAGGCTGCCCTCTCTGTTAGCTCCCGCGTGCTGCTCCAGGCTGCTGGAAGGTCATGTGGCCAGCCCCCACACTCTGCCCAGCAAGAGAGGAAGGGGATAGCACTGGTGGGCAGGGCACACTGGCCATCTGGGCCCTAAACTTTGGACTCAAGCCTGATGCATGGTGTTTGCTGGGATTTTTTAGTACTGAAGCTCTTGAAAATAAACACAACCTCTGGCCAGGCAAGGTGGCTCACATCTGTAATCCTAGCACTTTGGGAGGCTGAGGTGGGAGGATCGTTTGAGGCTGGGAGTTTGAGACCAGCCTGGGCAACATAGCGAGACCTTGGCTCTACTGAAAAAAAAAAAAAATTAAAAACTTAGCCAGCCATGGTGTGTACCTGTAGTCCCAGCTACTCAGGAAGCTGAGGTGGGAGAATTACTTGAGCCCAAGAGTTCAAGGTTACAGTGAGCTATGGCCACTGCATCTTGGCCTGGGCGACAGGGCGAGGCCCTATCTCTAATAAAATAAAAGAAATTTGCAAATAGAAAAGAAATAAACAAAATTTCTTAGGTTGTAATATCCTTTGCAAGCCTGATCACCTACCTGGAACTCAGACGTTCAAAGGCAAAGGAAATGAATAGCCCAGAAGGCAGGGCGTGTGTGTGCCTTTTGGCCGGGAACCTGGGCAAACCAGCCGGGTTCAAATCCAGGCTCTGCTGCTTCCTGGCTGCGAGAGCTTGGGCAGGTTTCTCAGCCACGGCTTCCGTGGTCTCCCTTGTATAAGGAGGATGACAACAGCAGCACCTGTCTCGTGGGGTTGTTGTAAAGTTTAAAGGTGTTCAGCACAGGGCCTTAGAAGCCTAACAGAAAAGGCCAAAACATACTTGTTGACTACTAAAGGCTATGAAACTGCCTCCTCCAGAGATTTTTAAAATCTGCCCAAGGGAGATGAGGTACAGTCTAAACAGCAATGGCTTTCCCAGTCCAGCGAGCAGTCACTTCTGACCCAGCAGATCCCAGATCATGCTGAAGAGACACGACCCTTAGCCCCGCCACCCAGGCCAGTGAAGAAATGAATCCAAGTTCCAGACACAGAGGCAGGACTTCTTTTCTTTGACACCTTGATTTAAAACAATAAAAATGCTTTTTTAGTCTCAAAAAGGAGCTTTCAGGCACTCTGCCAGCAGGCAATAGGGACTGTTTTCCTTCAGGGGGTCCCAATTCCCCTCGTGGAGCTTAGGACCTGGGGAAACATGCAAAACAATAAGCCATCTGTGAGGCTTTCAGACAGTGCAATTTGCAAGAAGAGCTTTTATATGTTAGTAGGACTCTGCAGTAAGTCAGGATTAATTAATTGCTACATTAAAGGAGAGCACCTTTAGCATTTCAATGACATAATCATGTGCAATTACGATCATATAAAGGAACACTTTATAATTAATGATGTCTCTGTTTCCTGAAATGTGTAATCCTTATGTCTTGAATTCCAAAGAGGTTGGCAGAGGGAAGGCCTTAAATATAGATCAGGAATTAATATTTAAATCAGTTTTTAATTCACCTTTTAATATGAACAATAAAACCAGAACAAAAGCTTAACCATTATCATGACTTGTCTAAGTCTTTATGTCTGGGAGACAAAATATTCAGCAACAACAGATTCCAACAGAAATTGGCAACAATTATAGGCCTGAAATGGTTATCCTAAATAACAATAATTTTGCCCTAGCAAGCATATTAACTACTTTTCCAGAAACGCATTAAACCTCACTCCGACTGTCCTAGCTATGGCAACCACACTGTATTCCCACTTAACAAAGCACTCTGTCTCATCTCAGTGACTTAAAAATGAAAATGTTTTTTTTTCCAATTAGGGAAGTTTCCCATGAAGTTGCAAACACCATGTACCAAACAATGTTCTGAGTACTTGACATGTAATGGCTCAGTCTTCACAATAATCCTGAAATGGGCACTGTCACAATTCCTATTTCATAAATAAGGACACCGAGGCACCAAATTGTAAAAAAAAAATAATTTATCTAAGCTACCTGTCCCCAGAAAAGGCCCATTTGATTGAACTACAAACCAGACAGGACAAATAGACTTTCTAGATTTTAACGTTCATTTTGTCACTCAAGCAACTCAACATTAGGGAAGCCCCAGAACTTCCCCATATCTAATTTCTCTTGGTAGCAAAGTTTTTCAGCAAACTACAGTTGAAAATGCAGAGGAAACAAAATCTAACCCACAGTAACATCCAAAGGGCTTCCAGGGGGGGAAAAGAAATCCCTGTACAAGAGTTTTTCTCAAAAAAAAAGAGGCATAGATGGCCTCCATTTCGTTTTCTAGTTTGATTCACAGCACGCTGCTATCTTCTTTCACGATGAGATATGAAGGGGGATTCCATCCCCGCCAGGCAGTCTCACGCAAGGTCAAGGGCTTACCTTATCGTAATAGTATCGCAGGGCTCTGCTCAGCTTGTCGTAGTTCATATTTGTCTTGTTTTTTCGGAGTCCCCACAGCTTGGCCACTTCTTCTGCTTTGAGGAGTTTGAATTCACCATCGTTCGAGGTCCAGCAGATCAAATGCTCATGTTTCTGATCAAGCAGCAACTGCAACAGGAACTGCCACAGCGTGATTGCACTCTCCATACCTGGGGGGGAAGAGGCCAGGTCAGAGCTGTCCGTCAAGACGCCAGCCGCACTTGCGGGGGAGGGAGGGGGTTTCAGAGTGGGCGACTCAGCTGCCCCCAGCCCTCCCCCAGTGAAGCTCATAAAAAGTAGCTTTTACTTCCACCTCAACAGGCCACTCTGAGCTGGGAGCTTTCTGGCTGCGTTTCTGTGAGCAGCCACGACTCAGAAATACAAGGGAGCCCTGAGATCCTCCCATTCACCGTGCACATCCCCGCGAGCCACGGCGATGCATCGGGAATAACGTAAAACAATGACTAACGAAATGACCACTTGGAGAGTGAGTCCCCGTTCAAACGATACCCACTTACCACGAGCGTGTGTTCCCACCCATCCTGTCTGCTTCTTCGTCGGTCGGCCTCTCGCTGAAACGCTGGACCCCACGCCAAGTGCCCTTATGTAGGCACCCGGGGTGACGAGGTGGTGGTACGTCTCTAAGTGCAAATGCTCTTCCTACTACACGGTGAGTGTCACCAGGAAGGGACCTGGTGGGATTACTCTTTGTGTCGCCAGCACTCTGATAACCCAGCACGATGCTCAAATACAGCAGGGCCGGCCAGTACATGCTTGCGGAACTGAAGAATCGGTCATTGCCGACTGCAGAGACCTCCTCTCCCTTTCCTAGGCACTCGTCATGCTGCCAGTCAAACCTCAGTGTCACAGGTGCACAGACGGGAAACGCAGTTCTTCCCTCTATGCGAGGAAAGCCTATAAAATATTATTATCCTTTTCCTTTGACTCTGGTGTGAACTTGATAAGTGCTGTTTCTTCTGCCTAAAATATTGTTCCTGGTTTTGGAGCCTGGTGAACTCCTACTCATCCATCATGACCCAGCTCAAACGGGGTCTTCTCAAGGGCATTTCCCCCCACTCCTGGGCAGTCTCTCGACTTCAGTCATTTGAGGATTTTCATGGCAATGGGTACTGATTCTAAGTAATAATAATAATCCATCTGTTTTCTCAATGTTCATTAAATTAGAAAAAAAAAAGAGGTGGTTAGGCTGGCCACAAAAGCGTCGCTGCAGATCCACTGTGGAAAGGGGACATCTCAAGTGCCCTCAGTTTTGATCTGGGCAGGATGGGACCGAGGAAGCCAGGAAAGGCAGGAGGGTGGAAAACTGGTTTCTGGCGTGCAGAGAAGCTCCAGAGCCAAGCTGTGAGATGGGAACAAGCCCAGAGACAATTAGGGCTCATCCCCCACCATGGCAGGAGACACTGAAGTCCTAGGGGGAGCCTGGGGTGACAGCCACCAGGGGACAGTGAGAAAGATGCGCAACTCTGAGCAACCTGGAAGCCCGAATAACTGTCAACTCTGTAACTCCATGCGTTCCTCTGAAACGGCGGAGTGGGGGTTGGGGGGGAAGCTTTCAGACTCTGACGATTCTGTTTCTCCCTTTCCACACAAAAATGGATGTGAAAATATCTAGCCATCCAGTGAGTATTCATTTCCTTATTTCCTTTCACGCGTTTAACCAGAAGAATGCGTCTTCTTGTTTCTCCGAGCAATGTGGGTGCAACATGGGTTGGTTTCTCCGTTAAAGGGAAGCAGACAAGGAATGCTCTCTAAGCACCCACGGGGCATTTTATTTACGGGTCTTTAAAGGGGATCTTCTTTACAGAGATCAATATCCAGCACAATGATCACTCGAGACAGTAAATCATTTCATTGTTGGATCAAAACCACCTTTCCAGCTCCCTCGTCTTGCAAGTGCGACTGCTGGGATTGACGGGGGCGGCGGGCTCCAACTCCTAATGCAAACCACCCTCTGACGACTGGAGGATGAGCTACACACTTTCTGCTCTTCACTGGCACCGAGAATTGCTAACAGTTGTCTCCAATTCTTGAGGTTTTCTTGGCTAAACACCTCAGGCAGTAAGCTTTAAAATATCTTTGAAACTGAGGAACCTGCTCCAAAGGGCAGAAGGCTGCCTGTGGGTTTGGAGGTCTGGGGGGCAGGGACTGCTGGGCTTCTGGCTCGCACGCCAGGTAAGAACGTGGCCAGCCCCTGCCACCCCCCACCTTTAACTGACATCATGTTCCAAATGGGGCGGCAGGGCAACAGAAACATCTATCCACGTATATTACACTTAGTGTTTCCACCGATCAGGCCTCCTCGGAGCTTCTTGTGCTTTGTGGAATCACATGTCATGGTGTCCCAACCCCCTGTGGCAGAGAGTGTGTTCTCTGGGCATGAGTTATGAGGACCTGTATGGCAAAGTAGTTAGATGTTCACGACTCTACTCCTTAAGTGACTCTGCAGCACTGCACTAGAGCGGGTGGAGAACTTTTCTCCCACCCCACTGATAGCTGGTTGTGGCCATGTGATTTCATTTGGCCAATGGACAGGTGGGTAGAAGGGACAATGTGCCAATTCTGAGTCGGGGTCTTAGAAGGCACTGGAAGTTTGCACCTACTTTTCCTCCTGTGCTTCTGCTGTTCCTGCTGTGAAGCTACTTACTCTAGAATGAGACACATAGAGATGCCCTGAACTCAACCCAAAACCGGAAGCCAAGCCCCACCCACCAAGAGACTAAAGCAGCATCCCTGACACTGACTTGTGAGAAAAATAAATGCCACTGCCAGCCAATGACTCTTTGGGCAGTTTGTTACGCAGCACATGGCAGCAAAAGTTGACTATTACAACACACACACACCTTTGTTTAAAAAAAAAAAAGATTCTCCTTTTGCTGGAGTGCCAATATCTTTACACTCTGGAGCTTACATCCGCAACCATGAGGTGTGTCTAGACACGAAAAAGCATGCCACTAGACGTGGGCAGACTGGCTCATCACGCCTTTACTCAGAGGCCACAGCGGACTAAGTGACAGCCACAGGTGCTGCGGCCATGGCCTAAGGAAAAGGTAGAAGAAAGATAGGGAGCAAGAAAAAGGAAATGGGGGAAAGTAGAAAGGGAACAGGCCGAGGAGCAAGCGGTGGGGATGGGGACCCGCTGCTACAGGGGTTTCCTAGAATTCTGGAATAGAGGAACTTGGCCGAGGGAAGACAAGGAGCTGTACACCAGGAGTCACAGAGCTGCCCCTACAACTCGACCAAGCTGCAGAGGTTGGGCGGTGGCCAGGGGCATGGGGGGATCATCGGAGGATTACTCGCAAGGGTTGCTTGCGAGCAACACGGCTCCAGTGGAGGTGACTAAGGGCTCAAGCCTTCTGTCTAAAGCACACCCAGCCTCACGCCCCTCTTCTGGAACGAGCTCTTTTGAGCCACTCCTTTACCCTGGTGGATCCGCCCATTTCAATGACTGTGTAGTCACGTAAAGTTTTACCGTTGGAAATCCCGGCCACACATGACTCAGAGATGAGACTCAAGAATATTTCCCTGTGAGCTTATACTCACGTCTACAAAGAAGGGTCCCTCCTTCCTACACTCGGCGGAAATCATTCTGGGATACTGTGGAGGCCCCAGGCAGCTCTGGACCCACCACTTCTCTGGCCAGAGCATCTGTGTGACTAAAATGGGTGGGTATGTAGAGGGGTCAGCAGGGGGACAGATGGGCAGTGGCTGCCAGCTGACACCGCTGCTGTGGCGCTCTCTATTCGAGGGCACTCGCTGTGTTGCTTTTAGTTCCACTCTTAATGTATTTTAATAATGATGGAATCCAGTGTCATAATTTCCCAACTATTTTCACATACAATCATGCTGTATGTTCTATCACACCTCTGCCAGCTACAAATTTTGCCCTCCAGAGTGTTGGAAAAGAAAAAGTTCTACCATTGTTCTGGGAAGCATGTCCTTCCGATACCCACAAACACCGTACGTATTCATAAATTCATCTGTGAGCACCTCTCTCACCAGAAAAAAAATGTAAGTGATTTTTTTCCTAAGTTAATTCCTTGATGCCTAGAATCCATAATTAAGTCCGATATCTTAACAGGCAGTACAATAAGGTCCAATTTATCTGAATGCCACTATAAGGAATATCATTCATTCAAACAGCATAGTGTGGCTGTTATTAAATGGAAAGTTCAAGAAAACGTTGAGACTTCAGATTTATTATCATGCACATGTGGGCCTGCTTTAAGTTAAAATGTTTTATCTGCCTAACTTCATTTAAACTGATTTCCCACAACTCTCAGCTTAAAAAATATGGAGAACACATGGAAGAAACGCTAGAAATCGTTTTAAAATATTCCCTAAGTTTTTTCTAATTAAAAAATGCTTCTCTTTCCCCTTCCCCACCCAGGTCTTATTTCAAATATATGAGATTTTATCGGGTATTTTAATGCCATTCTTTATGTAAAATCAAACTCTCCACTTTGGAGGACGATTAGGCCACTTCTAAAGGCATCACTGCTCTTACAGGAAGAAGAGTCCCCGTTGCATTTGGCACTTTCTGGTGTCCGCTGCCCTCACCTCAGTCTTGCAGCCTGCAGGGCCTGCCAGCGTCTGGATGGTCTCTCACCATTTCTACTGGCGCTGGCCAGCACCATGGTCAGGCAGCCGGCTGGGACCCACCCCACCCTCTCCAGAGAGCAAAACTGCCTGCTACTTGTCCCCACCGCTCCTTTCCTTTTGTAATTTATAGCCTTGATCTCACCACGGTATGGTATAGCTGGGCCCTGTGGCTCATGCCTGTGACCCCAGCACTCTGGGAGACCAAGGTGGGAGGATTGCTTGAGGCCAGGAGTTTGAGACCAGCCTGGGCAACATAACCAGACCCCATTTCTACAAAAAAAAAAAAATTTAATTTAATTTAAAAAAAATAGCTTGTCAAATTTGAACAATATACATACCTCCTTTAAATGAGCAAGAAAAAAAATAATACGTTCTCAGTATTGACAAATGATTTTTTTATTGTAATTTTTCTTATATCCATTCTTAACTGTTAATGTAAGCAACAAAACTGGATATAAGCTCAAGATTTATAATTCTTATATAATGATACTATGAAATTTATAGACAAAGTACATTCCCCCTCCATGCCATTCAGAGTAACAATCAATTT